TCGACTTTTGGCCCCTCACGGCCCTTAATATTAGGGATCAGTCCCTTTTTCTTCATATCATTTTAAAGCTCTTAGGATTTTGATCACTTTTTGTTCAACAACTATTTAGAGATTCTTTTTCGTTTTCGAGTTATTAGCAAAAGAAATATTTAGGGGCCAACCCTTCAACTCCCTAATAGGGACGTTAAACGAAAAATGAAAGGTTGCATATTGTTTAGAACATTATTTTGAACATCTTTTTTTCAATATTACTTATCAAAATATTTCTCCCAATCGAGATATAAAGCGTCAAAGATTTAGCATTCTGGCCCCTTGTGGCCCCTAATTATGTACCATACGACATAAAAAATCATAATATATAGTTGTAAATGGTTGAGATAAACATCTTTGCTTCAGTAATGTATTACAAAATATTAACTGAGAAGTAGTTATCGATTAAAGACTTTTGGCCCTTCACGGCCCCTAACTGAAATGCCCAGCCCCTTTTTTTTTATTTCATCGTTAAGCTCTTATGATTTTGAACACTATTTGTTCAACAACTATTCAGAGATGCATTTTCGTTTTTGAGTTATTTGCAAAAGAAATATTTAGGGGCCAACCCTTCAACTCCCTAACAGGGACGTTTAACGAAAAATGAAAGGATGCATATTGTTCAGAACATTATTTTGAACATCTTTTGTTCAATATTACTTATCAAAATATTTCTCCCAATTGAGATATAAAGCGTAAAAGATTTAGCATTCTGGCCCCGTGTGGCCCCTAATTATATAGCATACGACAGGAAAATGGTAATATATAGGTGAAGATTGTTAAGATAAACATTTTTGCTTCAGTAATGGTTAACAAAATATTGACTGCTAAAAAGTTATTGAAGAAAGAGTTTTGGCCCCTTTCAGCCCTTAATGTGATGAGTCAGCACTTTTTTCTTGATATCATATGAAAGATCTTGTAGTTCTACACAAATATTGTTCAATATGTTTTGACAAAATAGTTATACTTTTAAAGATACAAAGCAAAATGTCTCAAAAATCAGTCATGATTCGTGTCCTAAATTTCGACCCCTACCGAGCTTCCATACTAGGCACTTCCAGAAGATTTGAAAGTATAGGTACAAAACTACAAGGTGTCAACTATATTCGCTAAAAATTTCAGCACTCTAACTTTTGCCGTTTTGGAGTTTTTGTCCGGACAAAATGGTCACTAAAATGCGATTAAAGGGCGATAATTCCTGACCGGAAGTGAATTTTCAAAAATTAAGAAAAATGTATCAAGTTCAGATCATGATACATCATCCCTGAAAATTTCATATAAATCCGTCCAAGCATCTCTGAGAAATCGTCTGCACAAAAATAAGGAAGAAAAAAATAATAATAATAAAAGTGAAAAAGAAACAATAGAATAACTAGATACGATCTCGTTGCGAGCAACGAGTGGGTCTTCCGTCCGATTCTTGATAAGATGAGATAAGATTTTGATTGAGAATTTCATTCTAAAATAATGATAAAGATTGTGAAGAAGAACGATTTTGCCTCCATAATCTGTAAACAGACATTGAACATAAAGACTTAAAAATTCGACTTTTGTCCCTCACGGCCCCTAATATTAGGGATCAGCCCTTTTTATCTCATATCATCTTAAAGCCCTCGGGATTTTGAACACTTTTTGTTCAACAACAATTTAGAGATTCTCTTTCGTTTTCGAGTTATTTGAAAAATAAATATTTAGGGGCCAACCTTTCAACTCCTTAATGGGGACATTTAGCAAAAAATGAAAGGTTGCATGTTGTTCAGAACATTATTTTGAACATCTTTTGTTCAATACTACTTATAAAAATATTTCAAACTTCTGAGATATAAGGCGTCAAAGATTTAGCATTCTGGCCCCTTGTGGCCCCTTATTATGCACCATACGACATTCAAAAAATAATAAATAGTTTTAGATTGTTGAGATAAACATCATTGCTTCTGTAATGTCTAACAAAATATTAACTGCTAAAGAGTTATCGATTAAAGACTTTTGGCCCCTCTCGGCCCCTAATTTGAGTGCCCAGCCCCTTTTTCTTGATCTTTTCTTAAAGCTCTCAGGAATTTCAACACTTTTTGTTCAACATCTATTCAGAGATTCTCTTTCGTTTTCGAGTTATTTGAAAAAGAAATATTTAGGGGCCACCCCTTCAACTCCTTAAAGGGGACGTATAGCGAAAAACTAAAGGTTGCATATTGTTCAGAACATTATTTTGAACATCTTTTGTTCAATATTACTTATCAAAATATTTCAAACTTTTGAGATATAAAGCGTCAAAGATTTAGCATTCTGGCCCCTTGTGGCCCCTAATTATGTATCATACGACATAAAAATCATAATATATAGTTGTAGATTGTTGAGATAAACATTCTTGCTTCAGTAATGTATAACAAAATATTAACTGCTAAAGAGTTATCGATTAAAGACTTTTGGCCCCTCTCGGCCCCTAATTTGAGTGCCCAGCCCCTTTTTCTTGTTCTTTTCTTAAAGCTCTCAGGAATTTCAACACTTTTTGTTCAACAACTATTCAGAGATTCTCTTTCGTTTTCGAGTTATTTGAAAAAGAAATATTTAGGGGCCAACCCTTCAACTCCTTAAAGGGGACGTATAGCGAAAAACTAAAGGTTGTATGTTGTTCAGAACATTATTTTGAACATCTTTTGTTCAATACTACTTATCAAAATATTTCCCACTTTTGAGATATAAAGCGTCAAAGATTTAGCGTTCTGGCCCCCTGTGGCCCCTAATTATGTAACATATGAAATTAAAATTATAATATGCAGTTGTAGATTGTTGAGATTAACATTTTTGCTTCTGTAATGTCTAACAAAATATTGACTGTTTAAGAGTTATCAAAAAAAGACTTTTGGCCCCTATTGGCCCTTATTGTGATGAGTCAGCACTTTTTTCTTGATATCATATTAAAGATCTTGTCATTTTGCACAAATTATGTTCATTATGTTTTGACAAAATAAAGATACTTTAAAAGATATGATGCAAAATGTTTAAAAAAATCACTCATGATTCGTGTCCTAAATTTTGACCCCTATCGAGCTTCCATACTAGGCACTTCCGGAAAATTTCCTGACCATGTTGCAATATGGCAACATGTCCTCTATCATCCCTGAAATAATCAGCTTTCTAGCTTTAGCCGTTTTTGAGTTCTATCACAGACATGGAGGTCATCAAAATTTCGATCAAAGGGCGATAACTCACGACCGGAAGTGAATTTCAAAAAAATGAAAAAAACGTATAAGGTTTAGATAAAGATACATCTTCTCCGAAATTTTCAAGAAAATCGGTCGAGCCATCTCCGAGAAATCTTCTGCACAAAAATTGTAAAGAAAAAAAAAGAATAATAATAATAATAATAATAATAAAAGTGAAAAAGAAACAATAGAATAATAGAAGGGTCTTCCGTTGGAGACGGAAGACCCTAATTAAAGGGTCTTCCGTTGGAGACGGAAGACCCTAATAAAAGTAAAAAGAAACCGAATAATAAAGTGAAAAAGCTGCCTTATGTACGTAGGTACGGACTTGATAATAGACAAGAAAAGTCTTAATAGTGATTGTGGGTATGGTGTTTTGTTTTTAACATATTTTTATTGACATGTCAAAGGGATTTTCCACAGGTTCTATGAACTTAGATCTATTATGTTAAGGTGTTAAGGGTAATTACATGATTTACCAGTATACAATCAAAGCAAAGGATGTTGGGAGGCAGATTTAAAAAAAAAATATTAAGTCACTATATATGTGAAGGGGTAGTAACTCCTATCGCTCTCATTTTCTGAATCATTTTCTGAATCAATTAAGGAAGAAAAGACCTTGCGGAAGGACAACTATGCAAACGTGTGTTACATGTACATGTAATGTAGGAAGAGAGGGTGCCAATGGTAGGCTGGTTTTTATTCCCTTCCTAGTGTAAAAGTCATCCGTCATTTGCAAAAGTCAACACTTATCCCGAAAGTCCAATTGTACTGCGTATATGTTAGACCCTTATCTTTGTGAACACGTTACGAGATATTTTTTTTACACGATATGTATTTAATATGATATTTTGTAAGTTACTTTTTATACGAGTCTTCCTTGTGAGATTTACGATGCTATTTTTTGTATCTTTCTTTTTTACGAGTATCTACTTTTTGGATAGTGAAAATATTTTTGGCATTTTCAATAATTAAATATCTTTTTCGACGAAATCTCTGTTTTGTTATCTGTTTTGCAAAAAAATCAGAGCAGTTTAGAATCATGGCTCAATGGTACCTCTATTTTTAAGGAAGAGAATGGTATAAATGTAATTATATATTTTGAGATAAAAGAAATAGTTCTTGTTTGATCAGATCAAGTTTGAAAAAAATTGTAAGTTTTGCCTAAACATTTTGGCACAAATTGTTCTCTATAAAAGAAAGTTATTCAGAATAATGACCCCAATGCGGATATCATGTACAATGTAATTATTAGATAATATGAACTATAAAAGCTTTTTAATATAGTGTTTGTATTTATTAGTGGGTGTTTCCTCAAACAATCCAGATACTCATTAAGATCAAGCCTAATTTGTATATGTTTGGCACCATACATGTAATTGTAATGTTGGATTGAATACACGATTGATTAAATAATTTCTAATCATGTGAAAGATTTGAAATATACAAAATTAAAAAAAAAAAAAAAGAAAGAAATAGTCATTTATTTTTCAATAAATTTTAACAATTATGCTCAGCTTATAACTGTTTTCTCAACCTTTTTTTTTATTTCTAAAGTTAAAAAGTTTCTAGACAAAAAGAAGCTTTTGAGGCATTTGGTTTTTTTGTTTGCTTTTTGAGTATGGAATTGATGGTTCATGTAATTTTAATTGATACAAACTTGACCTTATTCTAATCTTGATTATATGTTTAAGAAAAATAATCTTTTATAAGTGTGTGTGTCAGAAATTAAATGCGTCTCGACAGATTTGATAAATACATTTCCTTCCTTCTTTGAAGAGTTTTTATTTGTATATATATGCAATATACTCGGGGAAATATTAGTGTATATAAGTATCACCATGTTTCTCTTCCAATGGTAAGTTTTCAAACATTTCAGGCAATATATTATCTTTTTTGAATTTTCATCATAAAATACCCAATATCTTTAGATAACTTGTTAATTTCACTAAATGTCAAGAAGTTACTGAGGTTTAAACTAATAATTATCAAAACTTCAATTTTTAACATTCAATCGGGTTATATATAAAAGAAAACGACTTGAAAAATTCGTTGACCACTGATTATGAAGCTTTATTACGTAACTTTATTTGCATTTTCAGTTCGCCATTTATAATTCTGATAATAGTAATAAATCACAGTGTTGGAATCTTACACAAAACAATATCGGTTCCTATGTCATTTGCTCCACTGAGACGAATCACTTATAAACCTGGCTCTGGGGAAATATACATTGGTGGGAAGAACATCGTTGTGCACCTGGACAAAAATTTTGATGTAAAAAGCAACAGCACAATAGGACCCCGACAAGACAGCACACAATGTGCTCCTGAGCAAAAAACTTGCAATTCTTTGCAGTGGACAGATAATTACGTAGAAGTTCTACAATTCATTCCGAGACACAAAATGGTGCTTATGTGTGGATCAATCGAACAGGGACTTTGTAAATTCCTACACAGTCACTTAATTTCATATGAAGAAAAGTTTAGAATTACTAATCAAGACTTCGTTGGAAGTAAAAATGGAACAATATTTGTTCCATACGGACCGGCTGATGAGAAAGATGGTAGTTATTTTATAGGTCGAAGTTGGGACGGGAGACCGATGGATTATACATTTCCGGAGTTTTCTTTTATGGGAATCCATAATAGATCTGAGGATCCAACTTACAAATGGGAATTTCAAAACAAAACCCTGTACGCATCGATGGAAATTTGTGATCAAAAACGAAAAGATTTTTCAACTCGGTTTATTTATGGTTTTCAAACAAACCAATTTGTCTTTAGCATTTACAACCAAGCAAGGAACACATCCTCCGGAATGATATATCAAACTAAAATGTCGAGGATATGTACAAGCGACAAATATATGAGATCTTTTAATGAAATTATTCTGGAATGCAAAATCCACAATATTGCAACTGCAGCCTATTATAGCGAAGAGGGATCTACACTTCACGTAGCATTTGGTATCAGCGTAGACTCTGTACATGCTGCCAGAAATGCTTCATCATCTGTTTGCAAATTCACCCAGGACGAAATAGACAACATGTTTAATAACTTGATTACACATTGTTATAATAATGGAGATGCTCTAAGCCCACCCGATTGGCATACGTGTGGACAGACAGCAAAATGTAACACTAGTGCATCGGTAAGGCATATTTCGAAATACTGTTATACCAGAAACGTTCGAGAGGTCGAATTTTCGAGGCTTTAAGAAAACATTTTGATTGATGGGATTTGATTTCGTGTTTGAGTACTTGTATCAATGAAATTTTATAATTAACATTTTGTGGTAGACATTCATTCAGGAGTCTCTTTAAACCTCGAATCGATGAATATTTAACACCCTCCTCCCAATATTCAGTGTTAGGATAAAATAATTATTACCGTGTGTTTTTAAGAAATAGGTAAAGATACCAATAATACCAATTTGGGGGTATGTTTATAATAGATATTTTATGTCTCATGAAGATTTTATTTTTTCTTGGTTAAGTATTTAAAATATTTACATTATAAAATCAGAACATGGATAATTTCAAATTGTAATACAAATATAAAAATCAAATTTAATTAACGAAAATTTTAATTAAGATTATTTAAAAATTTAGAATGTTTTAAATTGTAAAAAGGTGGAAATAACGAACAATGATTGATCTAAAAAGAAATCCATGATAATTATAAATATATAAGAAGCACATAAAACACGTACCCCTAAGAATTCCAGTGGTACATGTAGGATCAAGTGCCTAGTAGGAATAACCATCCCCTGTTGACTGGTCTCACTCGCCGTGATCCTTTAGTAATTGATCAGATAGAAGAAACATACCTTAGTCAAATTTATCCTTAGAAAGACATTTTTTCTAATTAATGGGTATGGACCAAGGCAGTAAAAATTGGACCCTAGAGTAGGTCAAATTTCCAAACAAGGTCATCGAATTTACCAACACTCCTATACAATGTTACAATAACATTGAATGTATAGAGACTGAACAATTAGGAATTATAAGGGATTATTTCAATGTTTCAGTGACCGATCGGCAGGGAATCCTCACTCCTTCATGACACCTGATCCTACCTCTGATGTTTTGTTGGTCCGCTTTTTTCTCTGCTCCTATTTTGTATTGTTTTATGGACTTTTGATCTTGAATACTGTTTGTTATCTCCATATGTTTCATTGTATCACAATAACATAATCATATTTTCAGCTGAGAGTGATCGTGATATTTGAATAACATTTTCAAAAACCTTCATACTGTGCATTGAATTTCAGATGTCTGTTAATAACTACTGCAGCTCGGAATCACATATAAGAACTGCACGGAAAACCAACCCTGGAATACAGAGGTTGGCAAAGCCCTATTTCAATCCGCAGGCACAGATTTACCAAGAAAAATGGACACTTTTCACATCAGTTTTTTCACATAGAATCAATTCGAAAACGAATATTTTGCTGATTGGAACAGATGATGGTTACATGCTTAAAGTACATAAAAGATTTCCTTTTTAAAATATTTTTTTTAATTTGGCAACATAAATATGATATATATAAGGTAAGACGGAATAAGTTACTTCTTTTCATTCTCCATTACAAGTAAATCTTTTAAACTACAATATTTTGTTTGTTTCTATAGATAAATATCGAAGACAGGCATCGGGAACTGAAGCCGTATGTAAAGTTTGATCTGAGTCAGAATAGAAGCCAGAAAATTGAGCCACATCACGTGGTTGATCCAGTTGGCACGGATCATGTCATATTTTTACATGGAAATAAGGTGAGATGGTGACCAACGTTTTTTTTTTAACTTTTCATTATAAGAGTATATATTAAAGATATATATATATATATCACAAGAAAAGATTTTTAAAACTGTGTATCTAATATTAAAAAGCTTGTAATTTATTTCTAAAAAACTAAATAAATAAGTAATTAAATAAATAATTGCAAAAATGCCTTGGGAAGTCAGAAAAAATCTTTAGTGTCCTTTGCCTTTCTTTCAATTTTATATTTTATCCTAAACTTCATCCTTTTAAATTGTTAAAATTGTTGAAAAGGAGGTAATTTTTATCATTCTCTAAAACCATTTGTTTAAATTGTGTTCCTTAAGTCTTAAATAGAGAGTCTTTTTTGGCTAACGCATTTACTTTTCTTTTTTTCTTTTAGGCTTCAAGATTTCCGTTGTTTTCCTGCCATGTCCACACTACCTGTGGAACATGTGTGACAAGTGGCGATCCATTGGAGTGTGGGTGGTGTAAAGATTCTTGTGTGATGAAGAGCGAGTGTACTAGCATGTGGTACAACGACACATGTCCGCCATTTATTGCCAAGGTATAAATTTATTGTATGTTGTTAGACGTCCCATTCACTTATATAGAGACATCCTCTTTGTAATGCCTTGTCTTTCGTGACAAGAAATAGGTTTTTGTAAAAAAAAAAAGATCATGAAATATATGGTGCTAAACAAAGGAACAGTAATGTGTTTACTAGCACCAAGAAATAGTTTGTTGTAATATACATGAAATATATGGACAATACAAAATAGGAGCAGAGCAGCACGGACTTCCAAAAACATGAGAGTTTGAATCAGGTGCCATAGAGGAATTATCATCCCCTCTCGACAGGTCACACCCGTCGTGTTTAAAATATCACCGAGAAGAACTTTTGCTTTGAGTAGAGAGCTGATCATTACGTTGCGGGTTTAATTCCAACTGCAGGACTCGATGGCCGACCAGTCCTTCGAATAAGAAAGTATGTACCCTCACTGTTCAATGGCCCTGAGTTGAAGTATAACTAAATTTGCAATCTTCGCCGACAAGCGTTAGTGTCTCGTTGTGAGTGAAAAATTCCCGAAAATGAGGTTCAACAAACAAAAACAAATGTGATTTTTTCATGATCGTTTGAACATACTTAATTGGTGTAGAATATCTCAATCAGAAAAACAGTAAAACACGCTTATAGCGAACACATTTATGAAGAATTGACACTTATAGCGAAGTGATTTTCATTCTCCTTGAATTTAAAATATAATTAACACTTTACTCGGATATATCGAATTTCGCCTATACAATTGTATGATAGCGAAGCAACCTTGTCCATCCCTGGAACTTCCAGCATGTTAAAGCGTGTTTTACTTTATCTTTAATACTTGCAAAATATACTAATGTGTTACCCATTTATGAAATGGTATAATGTAATTATTGCCAAGTGAGGTTATTTTATTTGCTTCAGGTGTATCCCTTAAGTGGACCATTGGAAGGCGGTACGATAGTGACAATTGAAGGGGAGAACTTCGCAGACGACAGACTAACAATAGCTAGTGTTACAATTGGTCAGACTGTATGCAACATTGTCAACACGACAAATGTCAAGTACACAAAAATAAATCATAGTTTCTATAGCATATTATAAGTGGTATAAGGGAGAAAAAACAAATAAAATACAAATATAAACAAAAAAATCTAGAATTCAGATATAATATAGTATTTCTTCGAAAATCTTTTATCTCTTAAAATACTGGTACTTTTATTATGTAACTTTCAAGACAGTCTAAATTTGAAGTGAATGTATTTCTGAACAACTATCAATAAAAATAAACTAAGAAATCTAGAGTGTTGGATTAACGTTTAGCAATGTAAAGTAAAATTTAGCAAGAACAATATACTACACATTAAAACATTTACTCATGATTATGAAATAATCTATTTAGAAGCTTAAAAATCAAATGTAAAACTGTGCTTTTTTGTTCAGCATCTAGTTCTTTTAAACATGTTTTACATTGTTTTTTTTGCAAGAAGGGGTATATACATATAAGATAAAATGAGAAATAGTGTAATAAATTATTCATAAAAATGTATTTTAAGTTTTGTATTGTAAGTTTTCACTGAAAAGTTAAAGACAGCAGTCTTTTATTTAGAATCCTATGTAACACCAGCTCAGCCACAGAAGTTGGTGATTACTTGGTTAGAGTGACGACATACACAATGGGTATCTCAAAGCCGTCTGAAATTGGAGTCTTCAACTTCTCTTATAAGGTATGAATATTATTGTAGTATCAATAAGAAAATCACTTCTTTTTCCATCTTTGCTACTTTTTCATCTTTGCTATCCAAAAGGATTTTCTTTTAAGGGGGGGGGGGCGACTGTGGTTTCCATTGCGCAATATTTCGCGCATCATAGTAAAATGAAGCGTATTTACTGTTTCAAGGCAACTTTTTTCGCTTGATTATTATAATTAAACAAAATTAAGAAATTAAGTATAAAAAGGTAATTTCAATTCAATATAACTGATTTTTGAATCAATTTTGCAATTAATTCTTTTAAGTGTGTTTTAACATTTGATAAATTGAAGCTGTTACCGATATATATGTTATTAAAGAAAAAATATATGAAATTTAAAACATAGTATATTTTATGTAATGATTGGATGTGAATCTGAAAACTATAATCCTGTTACTGTTTAAAAGTTAAAACATTGTTTAAATTTCATGTTTCTTACTATATTGTTTGTAAATGTGTAGCTTGATAGTGTAATTTGCTTTTCATATAATTAATTATTTTTTTAAAAATACCTGGGGGCATGTACACTGATGTCAATGTAAGTTATATATGGTATAAAAATGATTTCTTATTATTTTTCACACAATTCTGCAGAACATTTGGACACCGATATATTTTTAGAAAAAAATATATTGTATATATATTTTATGTAACATCATAACAATTGTTGTATTTAAAAGTCAATCCATAAAAAAAAATTTAAACAAAACGTGTACATGTAGCTTTATTTTTTTTTTTATGCAGAGAGACTGTTTTGATTTTTTTTGTTTATTATTAATCCATATAACAAAACGCAAACGTTTGTATATTTTTAAATTTTTTTCATTTGAATATACATTTCAAATAGCCAAATATTAATCATAATTTTATATCGAATACAAGGGTGAAGATCCTGGTTTCAAGGCCAAGACTTAATTATGCTCTTCAAATTTTTTCAGAAAATTTCCTCAAAAAGCGGAAAAATACCTAACATATCCTTGTGAATTACACGTGGCTTTTTCGGATATAAACAGGTGTGCAGGAGATGTTATGTTGATCGGCTTGTTTGAATAATTACAAAATTGTCAGAACAAATTTAAAGGAATTGCTTCAATACAAATTTTGAGAACATTTTCATTTTAGGGTTTAAAAAAATAGACACTTAAATTTTAAATGAAGTGGAAAATATTACATTATAATCACTCTGAATATCTGAAAAACAGTGAAAATATAAGAAAACCGAGAAATTACAGAAAATTTGCATTCAAGTTACTAAAAATGATGGCAAAAATGTTTTGTTTTTTTTTTACTAAAAGTGAAGGCAAAAATGTTTTTTCTTCAATGTTTAAAGTATTTATCCTTATTTTTTTTTTATCTTAATTTTTAAAATCATTTTTTGTTTCAAAAGGGACAATAAACATATCTGAAGTTTCATTTACAAGAAACAAGAATAAAAGAATCAGTTAGGCATTTTATGTTGAATTTTTTTATCAAATAAATTTTGAAATAACAATCTATAATTAACGAGGCATTTTTAAATATGAGAATGCACATTATATGTTTTCAGATTGATACGTAAAGTTAATTTTTCAATTTTCTTCGAATGCAATGAAATAGAGGGTGTGATAAATAGAAAAAAAATAGACAGTTAAAAAATAATGTATTATATATGTATTATTATGTTCCCCAAACGAAGTTGGGGAACGTATTGTTTTTACTCTGTTTCTTATTATTATTATGTTCCCCAAACGAAGTTGGGGAACATATTGTTTTTACTCTGTTTCTTATTATTATTATTCTTTTTAGGTCTTTCCACCTTTCTGTGGAAAGACCTATTGATTTGCTTATGTTTATTATTATTCTTATTTTTCTTCCGCTGATTTTTTGTTTCGACATTTATCGAAAAGACTTTTTGTTCATCCTAAAGGTCATTAAAAGTTAGGAACAAATTTGACCCAACGCGTATGAACTATGACTGCTTTCAAAGTTATTGCCCCTTTCGCAAGAAATGCTTGTTATCGCTACTCCTCCAAAACCGTAAACCGTAAAGGTATGAAACCTTCACTAAAGTCTTTGACTAATTGAGAGGACTCTGGAATCTATTCATTGCGAAAGTATTCGGTGACCCCTTCAATGAGTTATTGCCCCTGAAACTTTTTTAATTTTAGAAATAATTAAAAATTTTCAAAACAAGAAGTGATAGAGACATGGGACCAACTGCAAAAGATTTATTGACCTTTGATCATGAAATTCATGCAAAGGTCAAAGGTCAAGGTCATTCCAAATTTGAGAAATTAAGCTCTTTTTATATCTTTTTTGTCTTTTTACATATACAAACTGTCTTAGCATCATTAATATGTACTCTTAAAACTATTTTAAAGATTTAATTCGTATTCCTTAAGATTGACCCTATTAAAAGTTATCGCCCTTTGTACGAAAAACCTTGTTATCGCTACTCCTTCGAAACTGTAAACCGTAGAAATATGAAACCTTCACTAAAGTCTTCGACTAATTGAGAGGACTCTGGAATCTATTCATTGCGAAAGTATTTGGTGACCCCTTCAATGAGTTATTGCCCCTGAAACTTTCTTAATTTTAGAAATAATTAAAAATTTTCAAAACAAGAAGTGATAGAGACATGGGACCAACTGCATAAGATTCATTGACCTTTGATCATAAAATTAATGCAAAGGTCAAAGGTCAAGGTCATTTGAAATTTGAGAAATTATGTTTTTTTTATATCTCTTTTGTCTTTAAACATATACTTAATATCTTAGCATCATTAATAAGTACTCCTAAAACTATTTTAAATATTTTATTTTTGTTCCCTAAGATTAACCCTTTTAAAAGTTATTGCCCCTTGTGCAAAAAACCTTGTAATTGCTACTCCTCCGAAACTGTAGACCGTAGAGACACCAAACCTTCACTAATGTCTTTAGGATCTTAAGGCATAACTACACTGTATAAGTGCAAATGGATCTGATGACCTCTTATATGAGTTATTGCCCTTAAACGTCATTGTACTTATTATTAAACCTTATAACTTAAAAACTATAAGTCATAGAAGCATGGGGTCAATTGCATTGTGACCCTTGACCTTTGTCCTTGAGCATTTTCTCAAGGTCAAAGGTCAAGGTCATTTCATTTTTTTATTTTCATTTTTTTCTATCCTTTAAGACAATTTTGGTTTCTTATTCATGGAATCTAATTTTAATGAGTCAGATATAAAACAAAATTGAAATTCAAAGAAGGTGGAAAGACCTCTTATTGTTCTGTGAACAATAAGTCTCCTAGTTTCTTCTTATTTCTTCTCCGGTACTTTTTTGTCCGGAAGTGTTCTCAGAAACTGTTCACCAAACTAAGTTAAAACCTTTTTAGGGTTAGTAGGCATGTTGTGTAGATGTGCTGAACGAAGGTCATTTTGCGCGCATTCGCATGCACGTGCGGGCGCGTGCAATGAGTAAACTGACTGATATATTTATTATGGCTGTAACTTTTATATTTTTTGATAAAATGTTTTGAAACTCATTATATAAAGATATATAAGTTGTGTAGATAAGATGACATGGTGAAATTTGCATGAACTCACGCGCATGCACGTGCGCTTTGCTCTGATTGGCTGGAACAGAAATCTTAATATCTTTTTTGTTTTATGATGAAATGCTTTGAAATTTATAACATAGACATGTATTAGGATGTACAACAATATGATATGTAAAAATTTTCATGTTATCACGTGCATGCACGTGCGCTGCAATCTGATTGGCTGAAACTTTAAATGACTATAACTCCCTTGGTTTTCAACCAAACAGCATGGGATTTAAAACACAGATAGACATAAAGGACTCCTACAAGATGGTATGGTCACCATTCACATGCATGCATGTGCGTGCAAGTGCGCTTTGCTCTGATTGGCTGAAACAAAAATCTCAATATCTTTTCTGTACTTTTACAAAATGCTTTGAAATTTAAAACATAGGCATACTTTAAGATGTCCTACAATAAGATATATAATAATTATCATGAAAACACGCGCATGCACGTGCGCTGCAATCTGATTGGCTTAAACTTTAAATGGCTATAACTCCCTTGTTTTTCAACCAAACAGGATGGGATTAAGTACATAGACATACATAATGGACTCCTACAAGAAGGTATGGTCATCATGCACGTGCATGCACGTGCCTATGAATGAAATAGTGTAGACAGGATGATATCGTCATTACGCTCATGCAATCACATGCGCACGCCTGCATCACTTAAATTTGAAATACTTGGTATACTTTTGGAAAACGTTGTTTACGTCTTAAATGCATATATTTTGCCTTCTTTAATGAAACTTACAGGGAATATGGCACGAGAAGGGAGTTGGGGAGCGTTTGGGGAACATCTGTAACGGTTCCCGTTACAATTAGCACTAGTTATTAAGGTCTTCCGTCTTCACGGAAGACCTTATAGTGATTCTATTGTTTCTTATTATTATTATTATTCTTATTATTATTATTCTTTTTTTTGACAAAATTTTGTGCAGGCGATTTCTCGAGAACTTTTCAGTGGTTTTCAACGAAACTTTCACAGAATATGTGTTATGATATGAAGTTGTTCCTTTTGAAGGAAAATTTTGAAAATACGATTCCGGTTCCAAGTTATGGCCAATTTCCTGATTTTAAAATGCAATTTTGTCGCCCCTTTTTATCGAAAATGGCTGAGTATATGAACTGGAGACTAATTGGAGATGATAGATCATGACTTTGTGGTTTGCCGAATCGTATTTTTGTGCGTCGTCAATACTTCCGGTTTGTACCGGAAGGGTATTTATAAAATGCAATTTTCCAACTTTTTTGTTATTCAATATTTTTCTGTGATGTTAATAATTTAAATAGAGACTTATTTGCGAATGCGTTATATGTAATTTGTTTTAGAATCGAAAAAGCCAATCTCGAGATATTTGCATTTAAAAATTTGAAGCGGTGTTTTCAATGGCCGAATGGTTAACGCGTTGGATTGTCACGCGAGCGACCCGGGTTCGCTCCCCCGAATGTCCGATTTTTTTTTATCACTTTTTCTGCTAGATATTTTGCATTTTATTTCAGAATGGGACGGAAGACCTCTCGTTGCTCGCAACGAGATCGTTCTAGTTCTTATTCTTATTTTTCTTCCTGGGAAAATTTTGTCCGCGAGTGATCTTGTAAACTACACATCCGACTTAGGTGAAACCTTTTTAGGGTAAGTAGGCATGTTATGTAGATTTGCGGAATCAAGGTCATTTTGCGCGCACGTGCTTGCAAGAGCGCGCACGTGCAAAACTTAAAATGACCAATATATAATGGATATAACCGTAACTTCTCTTTTTTTTTTGACGAAATGTTTTGAAACTTATAATGTAAAGATATATTTGTAGTATGCACAAGCTGACATGGTCAAAATAGCAAGATCGCACGCTCATGCACGTGTGCTTCGCTCTGATTGGCTGAAACTAAAGTCTCAATATCTTTTTTGTTTTTCGATAAAATCATTTGAAATTTTGAACATAGTCATACAGTAGGGAGATCTACAGTCTGTAATATAAAATTTTTCATGAAAGCATGTGCATGCACATGTGCTTGCAAGAGCTCGCACGTGCAACACGAGGAAGTCCAATATAATTGATACAGACGTAACTATTAAAATTATTGATGAAATGCTTTGAAACTCATTTTATAAGTATATATTAGTAGTATGCACAAGCTGACATGGTCAAAATAGCAAGATCGCACGTGCATGCACGTGTGCTTCGCTCTGATTGGCTGAAACTAAAGTCTCAATATCTTTCTTGTTTCTTGTCATAATCCTTTGAAATTTTGAACATAGACCTACATTATGAAGATCTACGGCATGATATATAAGAATTTTCATGAAAGCATGCGCATGCCCGCGTGCTGCAATCTGATTGGCTGAAACTTTAAATGGCTATATCTACTTTGTTTTTTGACGAAATGCTTTGAAATATAAAACATAGTCATGCAGTAGGATATCCTACAATATGATATAGAAAAAAAATCATGAAATCACGCGCATGCACGTGTGCTGCAATCTGATTGGCTTAAACTTGAAATGGCTATAACTCCCTTGTTTATCAACCAAACAGGATGGGATTTAGAATATAGATAGATGTAAGGGACTCCTACAAGAAGGTATGGTCATCATGCACGTGCACGCACGTGCGTGCATTTGGAACGAGTGAAATGAAAAATACATTTGAAAGAGTGATTTTTCATACTTTTGGACTGAATGCTTTAATATATTGTATATTAAAATATGTAGATAGTGTAGACAAGATGATATGATCATAACGGACATGCATTCACATGCGCACGGGTACAATGCTAAAATTTGAATATAATTGGTATCCTTCTGAGAAAACGTTGTTAAAGTCAAAATGCACAGAGTTTGTCTTATTTAATGAAGCTTACAGGGAATATGGCACCAAAAAGGAGTTGGGGAGCGTTTGGGGAACATCTGTAACGGTCCCCGTTACAATTAGCACTAGTTTTAAAATGACTTTCAAGAATATCTCACGCTGATAAACATTGAATTTCCAAAATATAATAAGATTTTGTAGTTTTCTTAGAACAGAAGCATACTTTTTGTTAAAACTTCAAAAAAGTCATCTGATTTTATAAGTATTCGATGGATTTGTTTTATTATGTTTATATTTTTATACCTTAACATAATCATTGGTATAAAAATATTTTTCAAAATTCTGTACAAAATCTCATTTCAAAGTCAATTTTTCACTGTGTTTTAACAATGTCTTACAATATTCCAACATTATTATTAAAATATTAATTAAAAACTTCTGATGCGTTTTAAAACCTCTCTTACAGATACCATATCTGAACAAAAGGGCCTCGTCGTGGAAATACACTGCTTACATTCTATGGTGACAATTTAGACATCGGATTGAAAACTATGATCATGGTTTCTAATTTAAAGTGCCAAATCGTAAGGTGAATGTTTCATGTATTCATGTATTTATTACATGTTATACAAATGTAATGTAATTTGTAACATTAATCAAACCGCCGAAATATGTGTGAATTATTGCCAACTCGCGGATAAGCGTAAAACAACAATAATTCTACCCATACTTCCTTCTTTCTGTGATTCATGGTAGTTACACTATGAAGAAATAACTTTTGTAAATATAGTAAGATGCTGATGGTGCATTACTCTTGCTTTATGTCCTGTTTTATTTTGTTTTTTTTTTATCAGAGAATTCTGCATACATGTATCTTTCTATTTAAAACAAAAACATTTTTATGTTTACTTAAATATGTTTAAAAAATTCTAAAGGAGACTTGAAGCAAACTTAATTTTATAATTAGCTGCTAACAAAAAATTTTTAAACCTTAAACAAAATGCTTATTTTTCATTTTTAAACAATTATTGCTAATTATTCAATGCAAAAAACAATTCACAGATATTTCAGATGAACGAATTATATACACTCTGTAATCTAGTAGCTTAGTTATATTGTTAATTGAATTGCTATAAATGCATTATAATTATTTTTATAAACTACAGTAAAACCAAAACACAAGTGCAGTGCCGAACAAGTGAATGTATAGAAATTCGGAATAGCCAGATCGAACAGCGAATGACTTGTGACAAATGCTACCCAGTAAGATTTGAAATTGACAGCACCATATTAACAGATGAAAAAGACACATTCTGCTACAAGGAAAATCCTGAAATTACCGGTATATCAAGAAATACTATTTAATAGCTATAGGCTTTCAACTCGATATATAAGTGTAATGAAACGGAAAATCATATTGGATTGAAATGCCTTTGAAATAGACCAATCGAATCATTGTATAATTGACCAATCAGCGCTTGATATTATAACCAATCAGAGTTCCAGAATCATCAACCAATCATTAGTAATTAGAATAAGGTATAAATACAGACGCCCATGAAGATTTCGGCTACTTGGTCGTTACTCATTATTCGAGTAACACCTCCTGGACTAGGTTCTTGGGCTGTGTCGGGAAACAACAGAATTGTTCGTTAGACCACTCAGCTCAGGAACCTAGTTCCTTAATAGTGTGTCTCAGTGACTATAGTGTCTTGGTGACTTAAAATAGTGTCTTGGTGACTTTTGATAAAAGGTGTCTCAGTGACTTTTAGGGTGTGTTTTTAGGTAGTTGTAGACTGTGTCGGGAAACAACAGGATTGTTGGTTAAACCACTCAGTCTGCAACTACAGTGTTATAGCTTCATATTTGATTATTTTCTTGATCGTTAGTGATTCAATTGTGGTTGATTCTTTTCTTATAATTCGTTTTTGTTAAGTTCATATTTGTTTGCTAATCATTTATCCAGATAGGACCGAGGAAAAAGTATATACACATAGTGAATTTCAGTCAGTTTCTTGTTATAGTGCCATTGTTGTTGAAGTTTGTTTGATTCATATTATAAACGTGATACTTAGGAAGGAATCCTAAGCGGACCTATTAAATAATTATTTGTACCTTGTAAAAACGTTACATAAGTATATAGACGACCTATTGTCAATAAACAACGAAATACCCGCATCTTCGCTAGTCAATGGTTTCCGATACGAAATCGGAAACCCTTGGCTAGCGAAGATACATATTCCAGTGAGCTTGAGATAAAGGATATCACAGAATTTGAAACATCTGTTTCATATTTTGATATTTTACTTCGATACGAAATAGCATGCTCCAAGAGTATAATTTCTAAAACGAGGTAAATTATTGACAAACAAATTGATAAAACAAGAATATCAACAATCTCGTTTAAAATTATCATTTCGTAAGTTTTATGGTTGATACAATGACTTTGACAGGAAATACAATTTATCATTTAGAATAATCCTGACTTGCGTTTTTCATACCAATAGGGTCTGTAAGTCTCGTCATATGACTCGCGTGATTTTACGATAATTTTCACTTCGGGGTACCTCACATATGAAGTTGTGTATTGAGTTAAGCATGTTTTTGGTTTGTACAAACGTTTTGAGGAAAAATTAAGTAGTTTTACACAGCAGAAGGGTTGTCCGACTTACGATGGATAAATTGCGTGTCATAAAGGCTTGGGTGCGAGTGTCTACGAGGAAAATTTCGATATAATAGAGGTAAACAAGTCAGATAATGTCATATGTTGCGTGTTTATTTTGAACAAAAAAAGTGTTTCATTTTTTATCCCAACGAAAAAGTTTCCCAATCATCTTTTGAATTAGTTTATTAACAGATATTTCTTAAATCGGAGGACGATAATATTATTATCAGCTGATTACAGAGGAGGAGTTTTGTCAGTGTCTGAGGGCTACAAACGTCATACTGTGGCTGCATCACTTTTGTTTGGGTAAATAACTTATTAAAAATACGTTTTTTTTTCATTAAAGTTTTTCCTGTTGTATGTCAGTGGATCGAGCATTGAATATTTGTGGCCATTAATTTCCCAAGGATTAGATGCTTATATTTCGCTATCTCTCTGTATTCAACATTTAACAGCTGTTGAACAAAATTCACATCACTACATTAACAATTTTTACACAACAAAATTTCTTAATTAAAAAGCGTATGTTCCCTGAATATGGTATAGGCATTTGGTTAAATTTCTATCCAATTTATTCCTTGATCTTAGTTACATAAATTATGCATTAAAACTTATTCTACAGCAGAAGTACAAGAGGAACCTGGCTGAGGAACACAGGTGAAAGATGCAGTTGCTTTAAGCAGTACTAAGACTAATCTGACTTTGATCAAGATTCTTCAAAATGCAAATCAAATACAGGTATGAAATTGATGCAACAAAATAAGATCTAGGACAAACAAAATAAGATCTAGGACAATTTTCACGTTGATTTGGACTTTCAGTAGGGTTAGGCATTATCTGCGCGAAATGGCAAATACTTGTAGATTCTCATTGGTTAAGAAATTAATAACATCAGAATCTTTATATTATAGTTGTCAACGATGAGACGACTTATGCCCCACCTTTGTGCCGCCGTGAGAGAACTTTTATTTGGCTATTTACTACACCAGTTGACATTCGACCGAATTTCTATCCTATGTATATTTCGAAAGTGAAGGAAAGCTGTGTAAATTTCAGAAGCTAATTAGGTAACGTCGAAAATGCTACGTCTTACCAAAAGTCCACACTAAACTGGTAAGTTCTAAACTGGAGAAAATGTATTCTCATACATGTAAGACATGGTATATCATAAAATGACAAAAAGGTCTGCTAAATCCAGTGATGCTTTACCCCGAACCCCCACTCCACAGTTTTAGACATTTACCCATATTTCATCTGTACTGTCATCTCACCTCACTATTAAAATTGGGTGAAATAGCCTTGTATACAGATTAAATGTATAATTTTATATTATATGTATGGATTTTTTTTCAAAATAACAAATATAATAGTCAACATTGGCCTGATTTAAAATATTTTTGTTTGATGTACTCCAACTCACTTTTATCAAGGTCGGTTGGTAGGTAAATTTATTTGCCTTACAACATTGAACTAATTGATAACTGTCATA